CACGCTATTTGACACTGTTCGGCTGCTACTCATAAAGAGTGTAGTGGTGGTCTACCTTTCCTTCTTCCTAGTCTGTCTCAGTCTGGAAGTTCTGCTGAAACCTGTCCACCATGGGTGACTCTGCTAGAATTTAAAATATTGGTGGCCTAGCTTACAGCATCACAGCAACACATAAGTCACTACAGTATCACAGACAAATGAGTTGTTTTTGTTAAATGTTTCTGAGTTGGTTCCAATACACACTGACCCTGTATAGGGTTTTCAAGGAGCAGCTGGTGGATTTGAACCTCAAACCTTGATGTGACCAGTCCAGTGCTTATCCCACAGCTCCACACCAGGATCCCACATGAGTAGTGAACTGAATGATAGGAATTCGTTTTTACTCTTTCAAGACACACTCAAACTGTGTTTAGGTTTATAAAACGAGAAGCACGCAGAAAACAATACAAATAGGAACTGAAAAATATATAGTCATAAGGATTGAGCATTACTTACTATATTACCCACAGACTCTGAACAGACATGTGACAAAGTTAAGAATGGAAACGCTGAACAATTTTTGGACTACCAAGTAAATTATTATCTACCATACACATGGTCATCATATCAAAAAAAGGGGGGGAAAAGCTTGTCTTACATAAACTTAAAATTTAAAAGTCTTGTTTCAATATTAAAATGAAATTAATTTTACGTTCATTTTATTAATGGATCATTGAAGGGTGGAAGATATTTATTCAGTAGGAAATACCTAGGGCGTTTAAGAAAAATTTCCCCCCTTAACTCAATGGTGCTAAAGATTTCAAGGGAAGTAATTTCTGAACAGCAATACATCCTAATGATAAATTTCTAAATTCAGGTGGTGGTGGTGGTTGTGTGCCATGAAGTTGGTTCTGACTCAAAGCAAGTATAGGGTTTCTCAGGCTGTAAATCTTTACACGAGCAGAAAGACTTTTGCTTTCTCCCCCGGGTTGGCTGGTAGATTCAGACTGCCGATTTTGCAGTTAGCAATCCAGCTTATAATCTACTATGCTACTAGAGAGCCTTAAGTATTGTAGGACAATAATGTAATCAGGCACTCTCTATTATTTTGAAAACATTTTTCTCAAGATGTCTGTAAAGCAGCGAATACTAATCTCTCAAGTAGGCTTTACGAATAAAGCAATGAAGCAATGGCAGTATCTGCGTATACGCACACACACACACACACATATGCATTATTAAGGTGCCCTCAAGTCACATTCTGACCCATGATGCCCCTTATCCACACCATAACCAAAAAACACCAATCCTACACCATCATCACTATCGTTGCTACGGTTAAACCCATTGCGGCAGACACTGTGTCAATCCAGCTATTTTGAGTGTCTTCCAAGCAGAGTGGCTAATTTTCTGTCACGATTTTCACACAACATTCTGCTGCAATACATAAGGAGCTCACTCACTGGCCACATGTTGCGGATTGGCACGTCTTCCTTGCTACTCACTTTGCCTGGAAGCTCCACTAAGCCTGTTCATAAGTGACTCTGCTGGCATTTGAAATACCAAGTTTATAGCTTCCAACATCACAACATACAAGCTACCATGGCACAACAAACTGTACATGATGAACTGGTACACACATTATATATATATGTTGTTGTTAACTGCCGTTGAGTTGGTTCAGACCCATAGCAACCCTGTATAGGGTTTCCAAGGAGCAGCAGGTAAGCTTGAACTGCAGACCTTGCAGTTCAAATGGCTTCACAGTTTTGCAGTTTGGCTCATTAACACATAATGCCACACCAAGGACCCCAAGTACCGTGGAGTCGGTTCCAACTCATAGTGCATGTATGTATGTATGTATGTATGCACACACATACGAACACAGGCACATAATGTATGTATGTATTTAAGGAGGATCCCTGGTGATATAGTGGGTTAAGTATTTGGGCTGCTAACTGAAAGGTTGGTGGTTCAAATCCACCATCTACTCCCCAAGAGACAGATGGTGCTATCTGCTGATTTGAAAATGTACAGCCTTGGAAAATCTGAGGGCAGTCCTAACAGGGTCACTAGGAATCGGAATCTACTTAATGAGAGTGGGTTTGGGTTTCATTTGTTGTTTTTGTTTTATTTTTAAATATATACTACATATATTTGATATATAACAACCCATAAAATGTAAAAGTTTATTAAAAAGAAAAGTGAAGGTACTAACAAGAAGATCCCTAAAGTCATTTATTAAAAAAAAAATTCTGAAGACTGTATGCATAACATAATTTGACATTAAAAACTCTTCATTGTGAATGAACACCTGAACTTAGTTTGGATATTTTGTAGTAGCAGGTAGTAAATGACTTTTTTATAGCTCTGTAATAGGTGAAGTATGTTCATCGCTTCTCTGAAATGATTCTATGACATACATCCTGGTAATCTTGTTGCTGTTCCATCCACTTTCAAGAAAAATTAGACACTAAAAAACAAAGTCACTTCTTCCTTGCCCCACACATAGGACATTGTAATTTGTAAGGCAGCCAAGAAGACGGCCTGTTTCCCCTCTGAGAAGATATAATTGGAGACATGATTTCAGGATTTTTGTACAAGGGAGGGAATGAAGCAATTAGTTGAAATGCTGGGGGCTAAAAGAGTAGGTGCTCTCAACACACTGCCAACTCAAAGGCTGAAGGCCAGCCCCTCACTGTCATAGATGCTCTAATGAATAGAAAAGAGTGGATTTGCATATCTCTATGTAGTACTTTGAGTTGTGTGCAGATATGCTCCTTGTGTGGGGAAGAAAAGAACTCCAGGGAGTCATGGTAGTAGGGGAAAGAATTGTGTTCTATTTTCCTTGGATCTAAGAAAACCCAACACTAATATCCTTGAAACATAAGAATTTCGAACAACACAATAGGAAAATGACAGTCTGCTATAATAGTAAAATCTTCTTCATTTGGATAAACATCAGATCCTTCAAAAAGCCATTTGGTCTAGAATAATTTACACTGTTCAGGAAGGAAGAAATATTGCTATCTCTCCCACCCCATTACACAACTAATATAGTATGCACAAGGAAATTGGATGGAAACAAATTCTAGGTGACATAGTAAACTTTTATCCTTAAGGCTACCATGATAGGTAGGTAGGTAGGTAGGTAGGTAGGTAGGTAGGTAGGTAGGTAGGTAGGTAGATAGATAGATAGATAGATAGATAGATAGATAGATAGATAGATATAGATGAAATAAATAGCTGGGACACTGTTAGTTAATAAATTAAAAGTCCTTTGTTTAATTATTGACTTTTTGTAGTCATCATTGTTTTATTAGTTAATTTTAACATGTATAAGTGAAAACCTTAAGGAGCTCTGGTAGCGTAGTGGCTACAAATCGGGCTGCGAACCTTAAGGTCAGCAGTTCGAAACTACCAGCCGCTCCGCGGGAGAAAGATGAGGCTTTCTACTCCCGTAAAGATTTACACGCTCGGAAACCCTGTACAGGGTCACTATGGGTCGGAACCGACTCGACGGCACTTAACAACAACAACAACAAAGTGAAAACCTTAGAAATTTGATCTTTAAATATCATAATAACACTCCAAAATAGTTACTACTAACGCTATATTGCAGATTAAAAACAAAAACCTGAGATCCAGAGATGTTCACATTCCATAAAAATGGCAGAGCCAGAATTGGACCACAGAACAATCTATGCTAACACTGCCCCTCGGAATCTTATGAGTCTGGACAGGCTTTGGCATAACCTCTTTACCTAGAAGATTCAGTACTTTTTCAAGGAAAGAAGGATGTCTATGAAGAAATGAAATCATTGGATGTAGTATGACACATGCACTAATATAAGAGTAATAGTCCAAGACTGGACTAAGGTAGTTATGAATACAGGAAATAGCTCCACTCCTGGAGGCAATAAGGATTCTGGGTTGAGGCTAAGACTGTCAAGCATACTCCTTCCAGTATATTCCCCTCATACTCCATCTGTCCCATTTTCTCAGAGAAACATGGTTGAAATCTCCCTGTGCAACTTCAAAACACACATCCTAACAAGCAAAGTAAATGATAAATTAAAAGCATTTCAAGGCACTGCCCTGTGTTGTTAAATCAGATCTTGCTAGAATAACATGACATTTACAAAAACACAACCCACTGGATATTTGGCATGGCTCGGGAATGAAGAATATGTCCACTTAAGAGCCAATACCCCTAGGCTGTCAAAAAAAATCTCAAGCCAGGATTTCTTTTAAAAACACTACCTATATTTTTAAATTCCAAAGTCTAGGAAGTAAAGAAAAAGATTCTAAAAGGCGAAGATAATGTCTCTGCTTATTCCCAACTCCACATTCCCCTGAACATAATAAGCTTAAACCATACTACTACATAAGAATATAATCAAGGCACATTGATAGAACACCTATGTGCTTCTGGAAAAATGCCTCAACACTTCCAGTCCTCACTCTGGGTCACCCTCCACCCTCAACGCGCACCGTCCAACTCCAAGGCCAACAAACACTGAAAGGAGTATTTATAGATTATATTTGCACATATCAGCCAAATAATGCTTCCCTTCACTCTCTCCCCAACCTGAGACGATACAGAATCTAACATCTGGAAGGAAAAACTCCACCTCAAAGGCACATGACAAGGGTGAGCAGTCATCGAGGAGTTCTTCCAAGCAAAAGGGATTTGCCAGCTTCCCTCCGAGTCCAGGCCCTGAAAGGCCAACTGTGGTATGTTTGCATTTCCATCAAGCTGCTGGCCTCTCCTCTGTTCAGTAAGAGCCTCACAGCCCAACTGTCCTATAAACATCTCGCCCTCTGGAAGCGCTGGTCACTAGCAGGTCTTCTTGGAGCCGAGAAAATGCTCTTTGAGAGAGCAGCAGGCTGAATGATAACTAACACACTTGGAGCAGAGCTGACCCTTTCACTTCTCCAGGCCAGTGACCGCTCTAAAACAACACACACATTCATAGCAATGGAACAAGAACGGGGAGAAAAGCCCAGATTTTCCTCACCATGTGCCACCCAGCCATGTTTACACTGATCGCAAGTCCTCAGGTTAATCTTCCCCGGCTGAAAACACTCACACGTGCAGTTTACCAATGTGCAGCGGATGGCCTGAAAAGTAGAGGAAGAAGAAAAGGGTCAGCATCTGTAACAAGGGACCATCTGGTTTCATCATTTTCATAAACAACACCCAAAGCCATTTGTGAAAGCTATAAATTGGTGCAGGCGCGTTGGATTTTTAAAAATAAAAGTTGATGCCATCTGAACTTCTTACAAAAACTACAATTCATTCAGTGATACAATGTTTTATGCCATTCCGATGTAAGCATTAAATTAGAAATGCAGACCCAATGGAACAAGAGTAAAGGATTACATATTCCACAGGGTGCAGGGTTTCTAACAGGAGGCATCCAAAAGAAAAAGAAAAACAGATTACTGCTAATATATACTCCCACTTCAGTTTATACATTTGGCAAATACAGAAAACAACATATATCCTAACACAAAACTACAGTGAAATGTCTGTCGAAGAATTCTGTAAATGAAAATGTGGCATACAAATATTACTATTAGAAATTTTTTTTTATCTGTTGGATCTCATTCAAACGATCTGTTATTTTTTCAGAAACATAGTGAGAAAAACATTCTCACTGTAATAATAAGACCCGGAATACTGGTATCTACCACTTCCCAATTTCTTATATGCCCCCCATCCCCCTCCAATGTAATTCCACTTGCACTTTTATTTGGAGAAATATAAAGCTAGCTGCTTTAAAAAAAAATTTTTTTATGATACAAGAAAATAAGTAGAAGTTTTGTGTTTGGATCCAACACAGAAGAGAAGAAGCCATTTTCTATCTGGAACAGTACAAGTGTGTTTCACAAACTGCGGGGGAACCAAATCACTAAAACCTTTCATTTCCTTACAAGTACTTTTAAAAATCATTCACCAGCTTGTATTATAAGGTGAATCCTCAGAAAATGAACATAGATGGAGTGTAACTTTTTATGTATAAAAATCTGTGCTGAAGAATTGGGCTAAGGTTGACCTATGTTCCTAGACTGCAGTTAATAAATTTATCTCATACACTTATTTCAAATTTGCATGGAAATTCTGAAGACACAAGGACTTAGTACGATCATTTACAGACTAACAATCTACTGTAACTACACCTGAGCGGCCGGGAAAAGATTCCTCAACAGATTTAGGTACATTCAATGATTACTGATTTTGGGGTGGGGAGAATAGGATACAGATTCCTGGAACTGTAGGTTTAGGCCTGAAAGTCACAAAAATCCAGGTTCCTGTGTTCCTGAAACCACTTGTATTTTTACATGAATTACCCTCATTAGTATTTTAGAAATTGTTAACAGTTTAGGCAAAAGTGCATTAAGAAAGAACAGACTTCAAGTGTTTCTTATTAAGTGTGGTAACAGTAGTGAGGTTGGCCCAGGATTGGGCAGTACTTCATTCTGCTGTGCATAAGGTCGCTATGAGTCCCTACAGACTCAATGGCACCTAACAACAACAATAATCATTTGCAGCACGCAAGTTTATTTCTCTTTTTATTTATTAACATTAAATCTATGAGGGCTTATTCAATTTCTAATGTTCAAATTCTCACTATTGAATTCTTGCTTTCTTCACTCTGTCCCTAATTTGTTTCTCTATTACCTCTGGGGAATTACTCAATTGTATAATCTAACACTCAGGGTTTCTCCTTCCAATGTCATTGATCTAATTATGTAAGACTTTCTTGTATGTATTAGTGATTAAAGGAATTACTAATGAGGTAAGGATGCCAGAAAAAAAAAATGCTGACTATGAATTATAAATATATAGGTTTATATGGAGAAATATTTCTATGAAAAGTTATGATTTTCATTTCAATAGCTTACTGACTACGCATTATATCAGATTTCCCCAAGTTAGTAATCAGTTCTTGAAACAACAAAAAGCCTATTAGTTAATGAATTCTCTATTTTAATGAACTGTAACAACTGAAGTTTAGCAGTTTTCTATAAAACTACAAGGCACATTATAAACAATAACACCCTTGCAGATTTACTTACTTAAATTCCTCCACTATTTTATAAACCTTTTTAACACATTCAAATAGATATGGAAACGATGTTGACATTATGAAATATGATCTTTCAAAATATTTTAATCTAGTAAAAACAACATACTTTAAGTCATTAATTTGGAACTATTTGATAATTTTACACACACAGCCATTGTATTTAAAGCATATTTTCACCAATTTTAACTATAACTACCTTCAAAGACATGAACGAATTAAGAGACTAGATTTGTTTTTTTTGTATGTTTATTTTTCACTGGTTGAATTATCTGTTCACTTACGCTGTACTACTTTATATTCAAATCCTTATTTCTTCCTCAATAATTTTATACATTCAGTACATTCGGAATTTATGCTTTTCAAACTACGTTGTTATAAATTCTACTTTTTGTATATAAACAAACAAGCATTGGAACACCTTAACTCCTTTTGTGTATAAACATTTAAGTAGTGGGACACCAATTTTGTATTTCTATGAACTCCAGATACTATTTTGTTTTAAATTCAGATTTTATATCAACTACAATTGATCCTCAAGGGAATTACATATATTTAAAGAATATGGTCTAAATAAATATTTTGAGTTGGAGACTGTTGTGGCTTCAAAGAAAGTTTTATTCTAAATAACATTTTTGAAACAGCATAAAAACTCTGATATACTATTTACTCACAACAAAACAGAACCAATGTGATCACTTGCCAACTCACCCACACTTTGAAAAAAAATAAATTATCATAAAACTATCAAAGCAAGTTATGCCTCAAAAACATAAATGCTTTACAAGGAGACAGAGAGAAATATGTTTTCATTTTAGCAAGCTCCTTCCCTTCCTTCATTCAGCAAGTTTGAATGCCTTCCATTCTCTGCTGAGTAACCAACACCAAGCTGTATCTATTACCTTTGAACTACAAGCATTTAAAAATCAAAGGGCAAAGACTTGAAAAATTTAGTTTACACAAACTCAAGAGAGGAAAATAAAAACCTAAAACGAAAAAGAATCACAGTTATCAGGCATGTGGAAAGCAAATCTACCATTTATTCTTTTGGTCCTCAAATACTAGATGATAAATTGGGGTTAAGAGGTAGAAAATGGACACTGTTCTATGGACAGACTTTATTAAGCAGTTTCATAGTTTCTAACAAGGGTATAGCTAACAGGAGCTCTCAATTCCTACTTAAGCCTGCAACTTACAACCAAACCATACAGTAAATACAGATGGAATGTTCCTTACATGTGAGAGTGTGTCATGAGAAAAGACCAATCGCCAGAAAAGGATATCATAGCTGGTAAAGTGGAGGGTCAGTAACAGTGACAGAGGTCCTCAATGAGTTGGACTGAAACAATAGCTTCAACAATCAGTTCTAACAAATCAGAGAGAAGGCAGGATCAAGGAATGGTTCACTCTGGGATCCCAGTTTCCCCCACCATCTAAAAGTAGAGTGTTCCTAATAAACCTTTCTTAAGCAAAAATGTCACAAATCAAAGAAGCAGTTAACATTAATTTATAAGGGACTGGGGACTGTTTAGCATTCCCAGATGCTAAAAATAAGCTACCAGATCATGCCAGCTAACACATAAAGTCTAAAATCACAGTAACATAACATCTTGTTCACAGAAGACAGAGTTGAAAGTTATGGCAGATTGGACTTCCTGGGAAGGAGCTCAGCAATGCCACTCTCAGGGCAAGTTCTGGCTTCCTTTAAAACAAATATTGAATGCTACTTCTGATTTTCCCTGATTTCATAAAAGCAAAAATTCTCTTTGGATTTCTTTCATTTAATGAAAACAAGTACTGATTCAAGTCTTTCCTAAAAGTTGTTGTTGTTGTTGTTAAGTGCCGTCGAGTCGGTTCCAACCCATAGCGATCCTGAACAGGGTTTCCGAGGCTGTAAATCTTTACGGGAGCCGAAAGCCTTATCTTTCTCCCTCGGAACAGCTGGTAGTTTCGAACTGCTGACCTTGCGGTTCGCAGCCCGATTCGTAACCACTAAGCTACCACAGCTCCTTTTCATAAAAGCAGAGAGGAGCAAAGCGAACTTTCGAAATGTACCTTGATTTGGAGTTAATTGTACATGGGTTACCACCACAACTGTAACATGCAAAGTCCCTCCGATTACGGTTAATAGGGATTTCTTGAAAAGGCAATCTGCAGTCCTACAATTTCCTTCCACCTTTCCATTTCCCACCAACAATTACATTGTAACTTTGCAACCCGGATTCGGCATCCACACTTTCCTGAAACCACCCTCCCTGAGAAGCAAAGTATTCCTGGTACCTGGTCCCTTGTCCTCCACAACACCATGTTGCATACAGCCCAAATTTGCCTTCCTGTTCAAAACCACTGACCATCTTCATTTTTCTGGCATCAGTTTCTCATACCCTGTAAAATCACCTTTCTAATTCTGTGATTCCCAATGGCATGCTGACTCCCTACAGCTTCAAATGCTATCCCTATCCAAACCTTCACTTTTGACTCAGGCACTGTGTTAACCTGGCAGGAAGCAAGTGGCAGACTGCCAGCACTCAAGAACTTCACGGCCTGATGTTGGTAGGTGGTAGGTAGGTTTAGAGGCCAGGCCCTGAAGAACCAAGTCTATAATAGGTTTAAAGTAACCAGTCATAGTTCATTGTTATCAAGAACAGAACATTCCCCAAACATGATGTTTTATTTATTGTGAAAAAATAAACTATTACTTGTTATTATTAATAATAGCTAGATTTACTAAATGGGGAGCACAGTGGCTCTGCAGGGTATAAGCACTGAACTGCAAACCAACAGCATTGGTGGTTGAAACCTACTAGCAACTCCTTGTGAGAAAAATGAGGTTTTCTGCTCCAACAAAGATGTACACCCTCAGAAAACCAATAAAGGATCTCTATAAGTCAAAAACAACTCGATGGTACTTACCAACAAGATTTACTGTATACGAGATTTTCCAAATAGTACGGCACATACTTTATAAACATTAGCTCTCTTTCTTTTAATCCACTGAAATTACAAGTTGGTTCTATTATCACCTAAATT